CATGCTGTGAAATGTCTCTTTCGGCCTTCTTTTGTCCATATCCACGACTCCCAGGAACTTGGTGTTCAACCCTGCAGTACTTGCCAGCCTGTGCCCTCCTCACCCCTCCTGGGATGATCTTCCCAATCGATGGCATGATTGCTGAGTTGCAGCTACACTTATTATGAAATCATCCTTTCCTGTCCCTGGTGATGATGAATTACTCTCTCTCCCAGAAAAAGTCTCAGTGTCAGTCCCTTATCAAGTATGCTTTTCGCTGCTGTAAGTCCCTTCACTAAGCTGATTTTCACTTTTCCTGGAATTTCACTGATAAGATGAATGTTATCCAACCATATGTGTGTCCAATACCTCATCTTTTTGGTACCTTGAAAACAGTGAAAGCTTTGTTTTTGCTCCCCAGTACATCAGATTTCACAGAGGTTAGGGTTGGAAGAGATCTCAGGAAATCATCTAGTCTGACCCCCTGCCCTGGGCAGGAAAGAGCACCGGGGTCAGATGATCCCAGCCAGGTGCTTGTTCATTTTCCTTTTAAAGACTTCCCAGGGGAGACCCCCAGCTCCCTTGGAGCCCATTCCAGATTCTGGCCACCCTTACCGTAAAAAGTTCTTCCTGACGTCTAATTTAACTCTGCTCTCCATCAAATTGTGGCTGCTGTTTCTAGTTACTCCAAGGGTGGCCTTGGTAAACAGAGTATCTGCTATTCCTTGCTGCTCCCCCCACCACCCCCCTGACAAATTTGTAGATGGCCACCAAATCCCATCTCCGACTTCTCTTATGCAGGCTTTGGACCCGTGAAGTACAGTACTCCAACTGCAGCCTGACCAGTGCTGCATAGAGGGGAAGTATCATCTCTCTAGATCTGTTCATGGTGCACATGCCACTGTGTGATATAGTGCAGTTAGCTTAATTGATCGCTTCGTCACACTGAGAAGTCAAGTTCACCTTGGAGTCAACTATGACTCCGAGATCCCTTTCCACTGCTGTGCTAGTTACAAAGTCATCTCCCACTCTGCAAGCCTGTTGGAGATTCCTTCTCCCTAGGTGCAGTAATATGCTTTTATCTTTGTTAACCTGCATCCTACTCTGTTCTGCCCAAATTTCCAACCTGTCCATGTCCCCCTGAATCTGTTCCCTGCCCAGCAGTGTGTTTACTTTGCCCCGTACTTTTGTGTCGGCCATGAATCTGGAGAGAGTGCTCTCCACGCCCTCATCCAAGTCACTGATGAAGATATTGAACAGCACTGGCCCAAGGACTGAACCTTGGGGGACTGCACTGCCCACACCTTTCCAGGTCAATACCGACCCGTCCCCCACCGATCTCTGGGTGCGTCCCACAAGCCAATTTGCCACCCACCTGACCATGTAATTGTCTATGTCACAGCTGCTTGGTTTACGTATGAGAATGGGATGAGACACCGTAGTTGAAGGCCTTTTTAAAATCCACGTAAATGATATCTACCTCAACTGCTGCGTCTAATCATTTTGTGACATAGTTGTAAAAAGAAACAGGGTCAGTCAGGCAGGATCCACCTGCTATGAATCCGTGCTGGTTACCGTTCAGCATTATTTTTTCTGCTGGGTTCTCAAAAATGTGATTCTTAATAATTTTTTCACAGTTTTTCCCAAGGATAGAGGTGAGAGTAACCAGCCTGTAGTTACCCAGATCTTTCTTCCTCCCAGTCTTGAAAATAGGGACCATATTGGCCCTTTTGCAGTCCTCTGGGACCTATTGTGAGCACCACAAGTGCCCAGACAGTTGTGCCAGCAGTTCAGCTGTGAGATAGGCCAATTCCTTCAGCACCCTTGAAGGAAGATCCTCTGGGCCTGCTGACTTAAACATGTCCAGCCCCTCCCCTCACTAGGTTGGCGCTAAGTGTTGGTGAACTGGTGTCCCTCCTGTTCCTCTCATGCATCTCCTTACCTGTCCCTGGTGACTCTGTCAGTTTAATGCCCTTTCTAAATCGGGAGTAATTGGTGCTTTGTTTTCCTGTGAGCATTCTTCATCCCCCGGGCAACAAGGACTGTTATCTCTTGAAGGCTTCTCCCTGCAGTGCCTTCTCTTTCATCTTAAACGTCCATCCTCCCTTGTCCATCAAGACCCTAGTAGACACCTTGAGTTCATTGGATCCATTGCCCAAATCCCGGCTGGATTCTGCATCCTGTACCCAGTCGCAAATGCTCTTTAACCACTGCCCAAACAGGATATCAAGGTCCCACACCTGACTTAATCAGCAGCATCCAGCGAGGACAGTTGGAGCTCTGGGTCTGTGATGTTCTGGGTCTGTGATGATGAAGACACTGGGGAAATCTCAAGATCAGAGGACCTCCTTCCAGGTGAGTTGTGGCTGTCCCCCCCACCCGACTTCGCTGTCAGTAAAGCTATGTGCCCCCCTACACCATGTCAGGGTGTACGCAGTGTCAGGAGCCCCCAAAATCTCTTATTGGTGCACTGCTGAGGAGTATGGGTGTGAGGGTATGTTGTGTGTGTGAATGTGTCTATATGGGATGTGGGGGAGGGTGTGGGGGTATGTGTGGATGTGTGTGAGTGGGTATGGGTGGTTTGTGGGGATGTGTGGGTGAGCTTGGGGTTTGTTGGGGGCTGTGTGTGTGTGTGTGTGTGTGTGTAGCAGTGGATGGGGCTTCCCCCCGAGGCTTGTAGGTGTGAGTGTTAGGGGGTGTAGGGGAGAGTGTGGGTAGGTGTGGGCTTTGTGGGGTGTATGATTGGTGGTTGGTATGGTTATGGGGTTTGTGTGGCAGGGTTTGAGGGTATGTGGGGTGTGCATGGGAGCTCCTGCATGAGCCCAACTGAGCCAGTCAGCCCGTGTCCCCACCCTGCAACAGCCCAGAGTCTGCATGCCCTGTGACGCTGCTCCACCACTGCCAACATCTCATAGCCCCAGCATGGCCTGCGCCAGCTCCACTCAGGCTTGACACATTCAATCACCCCTGGGCATGCAGCATGGGTAGGGCAGCTCCTTCTGCCTGGTGCCCCCAGCCTCATGGTAGCACTAGGGACCAGTGCTTGCAGCCCTGACCCCATGTGCCCTGTGCTAGCTCTGGGCTCGCCCTTCCAGTGTGAGCAGCACCGGTAGCAGCTGGGCAGAAACTGTTGCTGGTTGTTGGGAAAAAACGGACCCTCCCCCTTGCTGCTGCTGCCGGGCAATTTCTAGTGTGGCTATCTGCGACTAACCAAGCTCCCCAGTGGCTTGCGCACTGCTGCCTCTGGGCTGCCCTGCGACTGGTCTGCACTGTCACTGCTGCCGCACAGGCCAGCCCAGAGACAGAGACCACACCAAAAACTGCCCAGCGGAGGTGAGCGGGAGCAGCTGATTTTTCCCCCACAACAAGCAGCATTATTTTTTCTGATGCAGCTGCTGCTGTTCGGCCTGGAGGGGCGAGCCTGCAAGCCGTGCTGGGGCCCTGGCTTAGCAGCAGTGGCACAGGAGAGAAGCTGCTGCTCAGTGTGGAGTAAAAGTGGCCTCTCCGTGCTCCTTCCCCCTCTTGGCACTTGGTCGTGCATCCACCTGGAGCCCGCGTGGGGCTGCCCTGCATCTGGTCTGTGTTGCCACTGCTGCCCTGCTGGGCAGCTCAGAGACGGCGGTGATGGTAGAAACTCAGGGCCACCCAGCGCAGGCTCCAGACAACTATACCTGGAAGCACTGGTATCAGGTGGGGCTGCTTTTGCCCCGTGCTGAGCTGCAGTTTCTCTCCCATGCTGCCACTGCTCGGCCCGGGCAAGCCAGGCTGGAGCTGGCAGGGTGCGCATGGGGTCATGTTTGCGCACACTAGTACCAGCTGCTGCCACTTGGCTAGAGACAGCCAGAAAGCTGCAGCCACCCAGACTGCCTAGAAAGGCTGTGGATCCATCCCAGCCCCACTTTATGCCCAGCGGGAGCAGGATGTGCCACAGCTAGGCAGCACGTTGGCCAGGTTGGACCAAGGAATGTCCTGTAGGCTAGACAGGCCGTATTTTGCCCACCCTTGCTGTAATGTGTCGAGGCAAGTGTTGTTCCCACTCTCTGAAACTGAACAGTGTAGAAACAAGCAACTGATCCCTTATCCTTCTAATGACAGATGTTGAGGGACAATCAGGTTTGTTGTCTTGATTTTCAGCCCAGATCCAGTTTCCGTGGGCTACCACGAGCTTAAGTTGCCATCTTCACTCAGCTATGTGAGAGTTAATGCTGCAGCCCAAAGTAGCCACCCTCTCCCAGGGCATTATGGGATTTGTAGTCTCCCATTGAAATCAGCATGGTATACACAGCTTGTGTGTAGCCATTCCTGTGGGACAAGAAAGCAGCTGAGGCTGTCCCTGGCTGCTTCTGGTCAGGTTGACCTGAAACCCAGGAAGAGTTTCAAACTGATCTCAGGCTGCATTAAGTGGCTCCATGGCAGTGGTGGGATTCAAAAGATTTCAGGTTGTGGCAGAAAGTGAATCCCCCGTGGTTTGCACTAGAATTGTCCCCTGTTATCAGATTTGCCCATCACTTTGGGGTTGGGTATGTCTCTAGGGTCCTTGTAATTCTATCAGTGTGCTGTTTGTGTTACTTGTGTTTCTGTGTGGAGCTGTATCTCTCCCTTCTGCAAGTCCTCACCCGCTATGGAGCTATCTTGCAGGACTTGGTTTCAATGGGGCTGGGTTTACTCCAGCCACCCAATCAGTTAAATGTATACACATACACACATAGATTAACATGACACACTTGACCTGACTGGGTTGATCAGCATGTACAGGCTGACACCCTCACATGCCAGGAATCAGTTCATTAAGGTAACAATGAACTGCAGTCAGACACAAGCACACAGGTGAACAGAATACCTCTGAATCCGGCTGGGTGTGCACCTGACACCCTCGTGGGCCAGCATCCAGTTCATCAGGGCACGTCTGAACTAAACTTGGTCAGCCTATATAGGCTGATCCCCTTTGTCTCAAACTCAGCATGTCCCAGTCTTTTGCCCTAACTGTCCTAGTAGTGGTAGCCTCTTGATGAACAGGCCCCACAGTATTTGGGGGCTTTACAGGGATCTCTGGCTTAGGTAAAAGAAGCGTTGCTGCAGAGCAAGTGGGGAAGCAGAAATAGAGAAGGAAAAATACATGTGGTTACCACCTGTTAGACTATACAAGTTATTTATTGCCAAGTATATGAAACTTATGATGGTACTAGTAGTAATCAATATGCAAGGGAAAACACAAAAATAATTACAATATTACCCTGGTTTAATTGTGTATCTGGGGAAACCTAGCTCAAGCTTAACTAAAAAATTCAGGTTCAGAAAGCTATGACTAGAGAGAAAAAGAAAGAGAGAGAGAAAAAGAAAGTGAGAGCTGGGATCTCAGCACTCCAAGGCATTCGGGTGTTTTGTTGAGAGCTAAAGTTCCCAGCACGATCGTTGAAGGTTAAACAGGTGAAGGAAAGAGACAATCTTTCTCTCCCGTTTCTCGAGAACAGCAGCGGATGGTGTCAGAGAGATTTCTCTTTCTTGAAGCACACTGTTTTCTGCTTTACAGCTTTCTTATACCCTTAGTCCAGCCTCTTCAATGTATTCCTTTAATTGTGTAAATCAAGAGGGTCCCAAGCTGTTACTGACAGGGAAAATCCTGTAGTATAAACAGTTTCAATTTAAATGAATTGCCTTTTTCAGTGACAAGGGGTTATCTGGTTTGGAACATCTGAAGAAACTGATTAAAAACCTGGAAATACATAAAGTTTTAAGAAGTAACCAGCCAACTAGGAGACAGCTTGAAGTTATTATGAATATAGAAGATTTACTAGAAGGGCCTCTCAGATGGCCTAGCTTTGCTTGCACTGTGAAGTCAGCATTGGTGTTGTGCATTTTACCTGCTGTGAATAAGCCTCTGCTTAGCATGACTTTAAGTCTTTTTAACAGACTGAAGGGGATTGATTACTTGGAGTGTTCATAAACTTTGTGGGGAGGACGTCCACCAGTCATCCCGGGAAAAGTATGGCAGCATGTATGGTCAGGGCTCCAATGGGCTGGACGCTGTGATGAACCCTGAACCATTGTTCAAATGTTGCCCATACTCCCTCTGACTCGGTCTCTTGCCTCAGCATTCCCTAAGCCGGCAACCGAGTTTTAGTCAATCAAGTTTAGGTAGGCCTCCCATAGTGGGACCAGGGAATGTATGGCCTGAGATGCCTATTACACTTTTCTTCTGGTTAGGGGGGTGTGTGTGTGTGTGTGTTAGGGGAGAGGGGGATGATGGAAAAAGTCCTTTGTAAACTCATCAAGCTGGGTGCCAGGGCTCCCTCAGGAACACAGGGCTGACAGGTAACACCCTTTGCTGTTTCCTCTCCGTGGCCTTCAGTGTCATGAAGCCTGAGACTCAGCACAGAGTCCTGGTTCAAGTTCATGCCAAGGCCTTAGTCCCTTTGAAGACCCTGTGACATGGATGCCATCTGGGACCGGTGAGCAGAGGAAAGCTCCATGGGTGCATTCCCTGTAAAAGACCTTTTCCCTGGAAGCAAGCAGGAAGCCCAGCCTTGCTCCTCTCAGAAGAGAGCAACACATCTCTATGTCCTCCCCTCATCCTCAGCCCCATAGAGCATGAGGCTATTCAGGCACTGCCCTAATGCCTGTGTCCCACGTGTGCTTGTCCCAGCAGGGCCTGAGGTGATGATATGGACAGCTGGGGCAGATACCCTGAGAGTCTCGGTCTGAACTGGACTGAGTAGGGAACATTAGCCCAGCACAGGGACCTGCCCCACCCTTGCCTCCAGCACTTGGGGTTTTGGCAGGAAGACCTTGTTTTCTTGAGGGAACACAATGCCAAGGTCCAGGCCTGCTCTGAGGCCCATCCCAGTAGATGGAATAGAAATGTTTGCCCTTTGCCAGCAGGGTAGAAACTAATCTGGAGTTTCTCTTCCCCATGCAGGAGATGCCTGCCTGCTGAGCAGAGCTGAGGAGCAGCCTCCTGTGGAAGGGTCTGCAGACCTGGAGCCAGCACAGACTTCCCCAGGGAGTTTGGGTGAGATGGACTCCCTGGGACCTGAGAAGGAGCCATGGCACGAGAGTCAAGGGAGGTTCCAAAAGCAGAAGGAGAATGTAGCCATGAGTCAGGTACGATCTCAAGTTGGGCATCAGGGTGGAGAAGGGGCAGAACCTAGATAGAGCCCTGGGTGCAGGCAAGAATTGGTGGAGCTGAAAGACCTTAAGAGCCACTGGAAAGATGCACTGCATGCAAGCAAAGGCAGTGGGGAGGGCTTCAGAGGGAAGCAGCAGCTCACTTCCAAGCACGGGCAGAGCTCAGCCCTACCTGAAGGTCAGGAAAACGTTTCAGTGCCCATCACTGCTGGCTCCTCACAAGATAAGGTAGACTGGGGAGAAGTCCCATGTATGCACCACGTTTGGGAAGAGCTTCACCTGCCTCTGCCCTGGTTGCTAACTGCCAGACCCATTGTGGAGAGCTACCCCATTGCTTCACCTAATGGGGGAAGAGCTTTGTGCGCCCCACAGACCTGGTGAAGCACCTACATGTGCAGAGGGGGAAGTGTCAGGCACAGCTGTGGCAAGAGTGGAAAGACCTCCACCCCTTTTTTCTCCTTGCTTCCAGGACCAGTGCATCCCCCTAGGGAGGAAGACACACCACTGCACTGAGTGCTGGAAGAATTTCAGCTGCTTGCAAGACCTGTCCCAGCATGAGTGTGTGTGGCTCCACTGCACCAAGTGTGGGGAGAGATTCAGGCAGCTCTCCGACCTGGCAAGGCACTGGTTAGTACACACAAGGGAGAAGCCACACCAGTGCTCAGAGTGTGGGAAGATCTTCACTTACTTCTCCAGCCTGGCTCGGCACCAGCGTATCAACACGGGAGAAGCCATATCAGTGCCCAGAGTGTGGGAAGAGCTTCTGTCTGTCCTCACATGCGGCTTGGCACCAGCATATCAACACAGGAGAGAAGCCACATCAGTGCTCAGAGTAATGGAAGAGCTTCCCTCACTCATCAGGCTTGGATTAGCACGATCGTATCCACACAGAGAGGAAGCTACATCAGTGCTCAGATTGTGGGGAGAGCTTCACTTACCTCTCCCAGCTGGCTATGCGCCAGTGTATCCACACAGGGGAGAAGCCACATCAGTGCTCAGAGTGTGGGAAGAGCTTCGCTCAGTCCTCCAGCCTGGCTCAGCACCGGCGTATCCACACAGGGGAGAAGCCACATCATTGCTCAGAGTGTGGGAAGAGCTTCACTCAGGCCTCCACCCTGGCTCAGCACCGGCGTATCCACATAGGGGAGAAGCCATATCAGTGCCCAGAGTGTGGGAAGAGCTTCTGTCTGTCCTCACATGCGGCTTGGCACCAGCATATCAACACAGGAGAGAAGCCACATCAGTGCTCAGAGTATGGGAAGAGCTTCCCTCACTCATCAGGCTTGGATTAGCACCATCGTATCCACACAGAGAATAAGCTACGTCAGTGCTCAGATTGTGGGGAGAGCTTCACTTACCTCTCCCAGCTGGCTATGCGCCAGTGTATCCACACAGGGGAGAAGCCACATCAGTGCTCAGAGTGTGGGAAGAGCTTCCCTCACTCATTGGGCCTAGATTAGCACCATCGTGTCCACGCAGAGAAGAATCTACATAAGTGCTCAGAGTGTGGGAAGAACTTCACTCGGTCCCCTTACCTAACCAAACACAGCCTGATGCACAGAGGGAAGAAACCAAATTGGTGCTCAGAGTGTGGGAAAAGCTTCAACCTGTCCTCTACCCTGGCCCAGCCCCAGATTACCAACACGGGTTTGCAGTCATATCAGTGCTCATAGTGTGGAAAGAGCTTCACTCACTCCTCAAGCTGGGCTCTGCACGATCTTATTCACATGAGGGCGAAGCCATAATAGTGCTCAGTGTGGGAAGAGCTTCATCTAATCCTCCAGCTGTCCTGGCACCAGCATATCCACACAGAGGAGAAACCACATCCGTGCTTGGAGAGTGGGAAATGTTTCTTCCACTCCTCCAAACTGGCCCAGCACCAGTGCATCCCTATCCAGGAGTGTCCATAATTCTGCCAGCAATACAGAAAGGGTTTGGGGATGTATACCGGCTCAGCACCCACCAGGGTCTGCGTCCAGGGAAGCAGCATCAGGCCAGTGGACTGCAGCAACAATTCACCCTTTGTTCAGCCTTTCTAGGGCACTGCAAAACCCAAAGGACACAGAGGCTGGCCTCCCAGGTTTGATGTGAATGAAGGGTTAAAAGGAAACACCTCAGTCAGAGGCCATCACAGATACTGGGGGAACCTGTGAGGAGATTGTGGCAGAGTCCCATCTCTGTCTCTCCCCAAACACCTCTATCTGACAATTTGGTTCCCGTGGTCACTGCAGAGGGCAGACACCTCTGGTCCCATCTGTTTCAGGTAACCCCGAGTTGTAACCTGAGCTGGATGCATTCCTCAGGGAGGGGGAAACCTGCTCCCTTTGCCTACGAGATTGGCATCACATACCTGGGTGCACGGCTTAAGCTCCCTATTGCTGTAAGCAGTGGCAGCATGACTGAGATGGGGCTAGAGACCCCACGAGTCTACCAGGCAACCAGTGATGGATTTCAAATTGTTTGTCTGGCAGCCAACAGTTGCTGGCCTTCATTGGATCAGGTAACTGAGGTCATAAGGTCTATATAAGTTATGGACTGCCCAGGAGAAGGGGCAGTAGCCATGATGAGAACTCGGAGAGAAGCTGGACCTTCTGAAGTTCACTCGCTTTCTTGATAGTCACGATCAATGAATTGCTTGTCTCCAGAGGGAATCTCCAGCTGCCTCTGGATGATACTTGTGAGTAAGCTACTTGAGAGTGAACTAGATATATAGGTTTCAGTAACTGATGTGTAATCAAAGGCTACCATGCCACTGTTTGCTCTGTGGGGTGTCTTTGATTTTCCTCTACTCTGTACCCTATTGCAAAGCTACTGCTTGTAACCAATAAAGTTCTTAGTACCTAGTGTGGCAGACTTACTGGGAGAGGGTCTAGATTATGCCTTGGGGACCCTTTGGTCCAGTTGACTGGGGGAGACTACTATTTGTGCTTCAAACTAAGGGAAGCACCCCAAGTTCTTGAAATGCGTCGAGTACCCCTCAAAGACTACTAGGCCTGTGTTTCCCAGGGGGCACCGGGCCTGAATCAGTCTAGACTCTGGGTGGTGGCGGTGTTACCTCCAGGCTTGCAGGCGTGCTCCAGGAAGGGGGTGGGCCAGACATGAGGCACCCCCAAGGAGGCACTTGGAGGCTGGAAGGTGGTTGGGCGCAGTGAGGTGGGTGGCTCAACGCAGGAGCACCCCCTACTGGCCCGCCACAGACAGAATCCAGCTTGATCTAGATAAATTACAGGGGTGGGTGCATGAGAATACAATGGAATTCAACGCAGACAAGTGCAAAGTGATGCATCTAGGGAGAAGGAACCAGTAAA